TATCGGCCAGCCTGGTGCTTTCCACCCTGGGTTGCATTTGCATATAAGCAGCCCAGGCTGGAACGCACCAGGCGGCCCCATGCGATCATGCGTTTTTGCACCGGACTTGAAGTATTCAGGTCATTAATTACACGAATGGTAAAGATTGGTTTATTGTGGTTTATTCGACAGAACTGGCATGAATCACCATAAATTTTGCATAAAGCAATTGCACAATTCTCATTCAACGTTCGTTCTTTGAAAATACCTAACTGTTCATTGAGCAATTTTCCCGCCAAAACTTTTAAGAGCCCTTCCGTGAGGACCACGCATACCTCAAGACTGAATCTGAAATACTTAATTTGTAATTGGGTAGGGGAAATTCCCTTAAAATTTCAGCTTTCTAGCTCTTCTGGTTTCCTAGTTAGTAACCTTCCCGCGAAAATTTCATACGCCCTCTCGCCTACACCATAAATACAAGAAATCAAATAAACTATGAAACAGAAGATATCACTAGGCTACGCCCCTGCGTTCTTCATCTGGCTTCTTGCTGGACGGCTGAGGCAGGCGCGAAGATTTCATTTCTATCTGCAACAACCTCCTTAATGATTCACAGCAAATACAAATGTTAAAGCCATTTTCAACAAATTTTTTTAAAGAATCACCGACCGGAGAAAAGACACTAACACACAGGTTTTACGATTGCGCAAGTGTACGAGCTTACCGGTAATTTCGATGATCTTTCTGGGAGCTGTCCACCTCTCCCTTTTTACATGTTACACTGCTCATACTGCGAATCCAAAACAGCAGTCTTGGCGGGGCACCAAGAGCGTCGATACAGATGCGAAGAGGAGCGGTGCAGTTCATGGCCCGATTGGAGCTATTCTATTTTTTACGTCGACTATCTCAAGCGAGTTCTCTTTACCACTCAGGTGGCCTATTCAATTCTTAGGCGAATATCTATCGATAATCAACAATTTCTCGATATGTTTGAGTTTCTTTGATAAATTCATGTCAGTTTACCACAAAACATGCATGCTTGCCATAGTTTCTTTACAACGGCCTTTTTCTGTCACTGCTTAAACATTGGGAAAGACTTCGAAGCTCTCCTACTTAATGGAAAGTGAAAGCAAATTAGATATCAGATTGAGCAATCGATAACGGTACTGCGAACACACACACACACACACGCACACACACACACACACACACACACAGACAACACCGTGACAATATGCGTTTTGTACTGCTGTTACACAGCACAAAACGCATAATAAAATGAAGCCCGTCACTCTTGCTTGTCCTAAAGTGAAGCTTCGGAGCAGCAAATAAAAAATAATACCTCTCCAGTTATCTCTTCAAACAACTGCCTGGCTAGTTTCAAAATACCGTGACTTTGCTTATCTACTAAGTTTAAAGAGAAAGATTGGAAAAGCAGACAACAGTTGGTTGCAGATTCGTATCCGGCTGAGTGTCTGACTTTTTCGAAAGCGGATATATGTTATTTGGGAAGATGTGTGACCTTCTGGGATCCATCATAACAACGATGGCCGTGTTGCAGCTCTCTGAAGAGCACTCACAGAATATTCTACTCATATTCAACGCTTTTCAATTTTCTTCATCGTCAGCACACCAAAGCTTTCTAAAATGAGCACCTCTTTGTCAAAAAAGGTATAGCTGTGAAAAGCGAAATACTCGGAGCATTTATACGTCTTCGGGTCTACTGGCTGCTTCTTGCCAACCTGAAACACAAATATGCAAGATACGCTAGCGGCTCTGCGAAATACCATTTGATAACGAACTTTGTACATTGCCCCAAGCCAGTACACTTTATTGGTCATAAAGCACGGTTTACCGATTATAAGTCTCTTTTATGCTCAACTTCCTAAATTCTCATTCTATGGTTTCCGCCAGTTTTGGTCACGCATTTTTTTAACAAGCCAGTAAACAAAGTCGACTCATCCACTGGGCAGGTCAGTCTGCGAGCTGAAACACAATTATAGGTGCAAATTATTACGCAGGAAACGAGCAGCCAAGAAAACATAGCTCAGGCATGAGCAACCTTTGGCAACACGCGGGCCTGAATTACATACTTACTTGAGCTCGCGGGCCACCTTTTAGTAAAACCCAAGTAGCAACGCCACAGGTTTGCCCGTGCATTCATGCGTTTTCGCAACAAACTCGAAGTAGTCAGATCGCTAACAGCATGGATGGTTGTTGCTCTACAGTTTAACACATACAGCTCATGCGCCTGTGCTTTGGTCTTTTCTTGCATGCGGGGGAAAAGGACGTCGCACAAACATGCTCTCGAAATTATGAGCTTTGCATCTGCAAAAGATGCAAAGACACGTAAAAACAGATAAGTTTTTATCAGGTTGTTCATTTAGAAAAAAAAAAAATAATAAACAATAGCAGGTTAATGTGAGCTCTGAGCCTGAACTTCTGATACAAGGTTATTGAAATCTGGATTTATATTTCTGACGGAAAGTCTCAAAGTATTTTCCATATTGGCGTCTGTTAGTCTCGTGCGTACTTTAGTTTTATTTATTTTCATCAGAGCATGGGGGCGTGGCGAAATACAAACCCCGCCCGTCTAGTGAAGCATTACACTTCGCTTCCCTTCGCGGACTGGATTAAAACCCATCCTGAGCCAGATCCGGCCCGCGGGCCGCCGGTTGCTCGCCCGTGATGTAGCTGAACTCATGTCTATCAAACAACTTTAGAGGGTCTACAAAGGGGAGAGATGAAAGACGTAGGGTAAGAGGGACGAGGTATTTAAAGCTTTCGGAAGAATGGCATAGAAATTCGAGAATGTGGTAAGAAAGTCAAAAATAGCTGTCAACTACAGCATGCAGAACTGCAAGTCGCACAGAGCAGTAAAGATACCTGTTTCATGGCCTCGGCGTATTCGATGCCTGTGCTGAATGATGAAATCATCAAGCCATCCGGAGACCGCCGTCCCACTCCAGCGCCAATCAGCCGGATCATGCGCTGCATCGATGCCCTGGAATGTGCTCGTTCTCAGATGCACGCCTCGCTTTAACGCGGTACCGAAGTTAAAATTACACGCACACCACACTTGCAAAGAAGGAACACCAAGAAAAACGTCACCGGCCACTCGCACCGGTACGCACAAAGTCACCCCCTGCCCCACCCTTACACAAACGCATACATACGTGTACATACACGCACGAACACATGAGGACGCAAGGAACGGGCGCTGTCTTGAGGAACGGGCAATTACAAGAACTCGGTTCGACTCGGCTGATGATCTATGGTGCTCAAGCCTTCCAGCGCTTCGCTCTATCATCTCTGCCAACACTATTTCGTGGCGCCGCTCGCTGGAACTTTGCCAGACGCGCTGGATAGCGCTGCCTCTTGTCTGGCAGCAGAATTACGTGGCTGGGGTGATGGGTGGAGGGGCTGGGCATGGCTGGGGGAGTGTTGATTGGTAGTTGCCTAGATACAGCTCAAAGGACGCGATTGAGGCCAGGATAGTGGGGAAGAATGAAGTTGCTGGTTAGGAGTTCAGGA